TACGTAGTCCCTGATTGGGACTAATATTTGGTCCCAGTCGGGGTACACTTTTTGGTCCAACTTTCTCCAAATTGAAATCCGATTGAACCGTTGTAGTCAGATAGTCAAACTCTACACAACGATATAATTTTTATTAATTATAGACAAACTTTATAATTTACTTATTTTTGTGTCCTTCTCAGTAATTAATTAACTATAAATTAGCTAATTCCGATAAGCCTATTTTCGGGGCGTTAGACACACACATTGTCACTAACAAAATTAACTAACTACTACACATATGATAAGATTTATAAAACTTATAATAAAACTTATAACTAAATAACTTTAAAAACTTATAAATATAAATTATATAAACAAAGAACTTATAATATAACTTTTAAATAAACACTTATAAAATAAACTTAGTAAAAAACTTATATTATAAACTAAAACAATATAAAGGGGGGGGTTGGATGAAAAGTAAATATTTTTTTGGTTTTTTATATTTTTCTTATTTTTTGGTTTTTTTGATACAATGGGGGAAAACAAGCTCAAAAAGATAATCAACTACTCCAACAAAGGTACCCAAGAAACACCGCCAAGAACCCGAAACAAAATGAAAAAAGAGAACAAACAGGAGTTGAACATTACACGTGTAATAAGCACGTAGACAATATATTACGTAACTTACGCACTTAAGAATAGGAAAAATCAATCAATGGCCGAGTCGATTCATTTCCTTAACCATAATATGGAGGATTGTCAACTCTCCACACGGCCCGGAGTCATGCAATTCAAAGGCCCATTTTGAAATATACCTTAGAACCTGATGATTGAGTTTTTCGGTAAGTCAACCTTCCCAATGAAGGGTTAGTTTTCTCCGAGTGTCGTGTCTCTCGAGGAGTGGACGAAGGGAATTAGCTAATTTTTCTAACTAGGCGAAGGTTTGGACAAATCTAGGAGTCTTCCCGATTCGATTTGAAAATAAAAATAAACTAAATTACTTGGTGCTTTTTGAGAAAAAAGAATAAATAGTACGAGTATAAGACTAGACTTTGGGCCAAGGCATCATCTGAGTTAACTACTATTGTCACATATTTAATCAATAATTGGAATAAATATATTTCTGTCACAAATATTTCATTAACGTATCTTCTCTCAAGGTATCATTAATGTGTTCTAAAAAAATTGGCTTAATTAATTTTATATCCTCATAGACAAGGTAAAAACTAATTTCCAATTATTAATTAATTTTTCTCTCGACATAATTAATTAATTTAACAATAAAAATAATTCTAGAACAATATGCCCAAATTTAGCCACGACCCTAATCTGGGCCCTAACCCATACTAAATATCAACAGTGCATGAAATAAAAGAACATTTTATTAAAAGTTGTAAAAAATTAACTTACAACCGAGAGTAGAGCCGGGGTCACCTTGGGACAACCAGAACAAAACTAAACTAAAATATTAAAATATAACTGAAAACAGGAGTTAGAAATTAGGTCCGGGCCTTAAAAGAACCGGAAGAGGAGCTTGGTTTGAATGGAGGCAAAGGCCTCCTTTTATAGGAGAAATTGGATGAGGCAGGCAGGCGGCTAGTGGCTTGAGAATTGAGATAGTGGAGTTGGTGGCTCCCATATTTTTCTTTCCTCTTGCGTCATCCTCTATCTCTTCTTTCTTTTTTTTCTTTTTTAAGTTGATATTTTGATGATGATGGCGGCTGGACATCCACTTGCTCGCTGCTGTAGTTGGCCGGCCAGCCAGGTCACGCCACGTGGCAGCGCCTGGTTGGCCGGATTTTGATCCGTTCCAAATTTTTTTTTCTAAAAATACTATCTTGCTCAAAATTTTATTCTGAACAACCTTTTCTTCTGCGCCGACTTCAAATTCCGAACCAATTTGGGTCAAACGAATTAATTTGAATCAAAACAACTTTTTTTTAACTTTTTCACTTCAACAACTTCTTTTTGGTACTTTTTCAATCTGTTTGACCTCTAATCTTTTGACGAGGTGTATCTCCACAATTGAATATATACTTCTTACTTCATGGATTTTCACCATCTTTTGTCTCCTTGCTCCGTTGCATTCCATTTGCATAATCTTTTACACTTTTGTACCACTTTTGACTCAATTTTTATTCTTTTTAAAACTAGACATAATTTTGTGCACTTTTACAATTATGAATAAAAACTTATAAAAACCATTGAGAAATTGATTTGTTTGATCTAAAATTGGACAATAACACATTAAATATAGAGAAGATAAGAGCGTACAAAACAGACTTATCAAATTCCCCCATACTTAGCGTTGCTTGCCCTCAAGCAACAGGGTACAACAACAAATGAAATTTTGGATCAAACACTTATTTACAAAACTATTTTGGAAAAACTATTGACCACATTTTTAAAGAATTTGTTATACAAAATTCTCTTACATTATTTAATCTTTACAAAAATGGAACTACTAGAAATAGCACCCTCTTTACAAAAAAAGTTAGAAAAATATTTTTATTTGTTTTTCTAAAAGATGCACATAAATTAATTTATTTGGCTAAATGTAAAAGTTGTCCATTTACAAACTTGGATACTAATGTCTAAAACAAAAGAATTGTAAGTGTTTTATAATAACTGCAAAATAATTTAAGGTAAAAAATATGTACATTGAAAAAAAAAATTAAAAATAACTTTTTTGAAAATATCATTTATTCCTATGCAAAGAGTAAGTTTGAATTTTTTTTGTAGAACTTCACTTTGTCATGTTGACACAAGCAAAAACTTTGATCCTCATCTCATGACATAGAACCACGAGTTTTTTGGATTTCTATTCACTCAAAAGCCTCATCACACGACATGGAACCACATTCTTTTTGGCACTCACTTCAATATAAGTCTCATCATTTGACATAGAACCAAATGCTTTTTGACTTTTCAATTCTCTAGAACTTGGTCTCACCAAAGTGTGTTCTTTGAATTTTTGACTTTTTTTCAAAACTTACAATGCAATCATTGAAATATCAAATTTTCAGAAAAATATACTGCTCATACTCAATTTGAAGTAGTGAAACATCATCATTTTAAATGACAAGTTACAAATGTTTGACATTAACATATTTTACAAGTTAATATTTTTTCACTAAATCAATAATTTTATTTTCACACATTAGTATCCCAATTTATTTATTTACAAAACTTATTAAAGTTAGCCAATAAAAAGACTATATGTGCAATTTAAAGAAAAAAAATTAAAATTTTGTTTAATTTTTGCATAAGGGGCTATTAAAAATAATTCTACCTATGAAAAAAGTAAAAAAAAATGTAAAACAATTTTAAAAATATCAATAGTGATAACTAGACCGATTTAGAGTATTCGGGATCGAGCAGAATGCTGCCAATTAGGTGCTCTTAGGCTCACGTGAATAAACCTTTCCACATAATGACCTAGTAGGAATGGTGGGACAAGTTTGGCTCCCGAAGGCGTCACCCTTTGCGTCCACTTAAGTACCATTGCGGCTTAGACAGTCATTCCGTACACGGTGTAGAGATCAATATTAATATGTAAAAATATTCTGTACCAAACTCCAATCTCCCCACACTTAGGGTTGACCTCGCCCTCGAGGTCATTAAGCGATAAAAACAAGAGTTTGGGACAGAGACAATTCTCAAATTTTTTTAAAGAGGTTTTTACAAAAAATTTATCTACAAAAGTTAGTCATTTCTTTTTTTTTTTGTTGTGTCAACATGGTTCACCAGCATTCTTAATTCCAAGCTCCACCTGCACACACAAACACACAAAAACGCGTAAAAAGGAAAAAGAAAAATAAAATTTATTCACTTGGATTGCCTCCCAAGAAGCGCTTCTTTAACGTCACTAGCTTGACGTTAGCCCGTTTTTTACGGGACTTACCAATCCGAGAGTCATTATGCTTGACGTTAGCCACCTTTGTTCTGTTCTTTTCCAATCAAAGTACATGATCTTTGACTCATTCCTGCAGCTTGGTGGCAACAGGAAAAAGGGAGGAGACTCGTCTTGGATGGTTGGTGTTGGGAGTCTCCTCGGTGTATCCACATCATTGGCCTTTAGTGCCAGGTTCTGATTTTCTAAGTCCCCAATGGGCTGACATTCTGTCGGTGGCTCGATGATTACGGCATGGCCTTCCCCTGAGTCTTCAGTGTCGCTCATCAGAAGTTAGTCCCAGCTCATTTGGCTATAAGATTCCTTCGGGTAAGAATAGACATACCCGTCGAGTAGGGAGTCAAAGAAAGCTTCGTCTGAATTTTCCAATGAAACTTCAACATTAAGAACTTCTATAGACGGGATGGATTTAGCATCACAGGGTAGTTCCTCATCTATAGATTTGTGTGACTCATCAATATCACAATCAAGGGGGTCGGTGGTGGGCTCAGATTTCTCCAGAACAGGTTCCTCTGGAAAAGTGTCTTCAACACATGTAAGGAGGAAAGGTTCCTCCAACGTTTCTGGTGCAGCGGGTGAAGGTGGTTCCGAGATAGGACCCTCGGTATGCTTCACCTCTTGTATGATTTGACTTTTTGGACTTTCAAGATACATTTCCATTGTACCTCGTGCACTCATTTCTGCAACTGTTATCTTGTTTTCGATATAGTGTGGTGATGAAGTTTGTGGATATTCAAGAATCGAGACATTGTTGGATTCAGTTTCAGATTCTGTCTCAGATTCTTCGTCCTCTTCTAGAGCAACAACTTTCTCCATCTGAATCTGGAGAGTTTGTTGTTCCATAGCCTTCTTAAAATCTTCCAGCATCTTTTGCATCTGCTCCAAATGTT